AGGTCGACATGGAAGGAGCTGGTGGCTTGCGACGCGGAGGTGACGGTCGGGGAGGCGGTGGAGAAGGCGTTGCGCCACGGGGTGCACCGTGTGTGGGTGGTCGATGACAAGGGTCTGCTCCAAGGGGTTGTGTCCCTAACTGATATGGTCAGAGTCATCCGCCTCTGCTTGCTTTCTCTGTCTCACTGACCCCATCCGAGACGACCCCCATTATATGTTATATATATTGTCTTGTCTTAATAATAAGTTGGCCATCCTGTTGGGGAGGGAATTAAAATCGTGTGTGCTATGTGTCATGCTTTGTTTTGGCTTACCTTTTGCCCAATGGTTTCACGAAAACTTGCTCAAATTCTAGAATAAAATTGGAATATAATTACTTTGAAGATGGATAGATAGTGTTGGAATTCCGGCCGGCCGAGAACAACGGATGGAGTGTCGGGTAAATTATTCCATATAAAGTCGGGATCCACTATTCTAACCCAAAAGCTTAAGTTAATAAGTAGAGCTTCACGTTTCTATATATGCTAGTGGTATTTATATTTATTTTTCGGAAAACTCCAACGGGTAGATTGGACTAATCACTAAAATGCAACATCTTATAAGATGTTCATTGTTTCAACTATTTGATATTTTTGATTTATGCTTTTTGAAGCCTTGTTTCGGAACAACATTTTCGAGTCAATGTTTTGGATAAAATATTAATGTTGTAGATTGCTTCTGAAAATACTAAAGTTAAAGACTATTGTCAGATAACATGTTCAAAACGCTAACGTTAAACTCTAACGCTGATGCTAAACGGGTATAAGTATATATTTTAATAATCAAGTGTTATAAAAGTGGATATTGAAAAACAAAGTTATCACCCATTTTTAAGTACAAGTGCTCTACAAAAACCAAAATGGGGCAACAAATATGCTCTCCGCAGTCCGCACACCGTCTTTATTATTTTTCTCAAACAAATTGAAGAGTATAGATAGAGGAAAAGTTATGTGTGATGGGAAAAGAAATTTCACCAGAATTACATATGACACATGATACTATACGCGAAACGACACTCGGATGAACTTGGGGTGTCGGGTCGTTTTTCAAGCCCCCGAGCAAGCAATTCGCTCTTCTCCCTAGGGTGTTGCACAAGTCCCTTAGCTTTGTGCAACAATCAAGGCAGTGACTCAGTCAATTTCCATAATACAAATTTTGTACGCTCAAGCTAATAAAATTATTAATGCGCTCTTTCTATTTCTCTTTCTTCTCTCTCCCCCCCTCTCAATAGCTCGAAGCACTTAGCTTACACTCTCTCTCAACTCTTTGCTCCGACTACATTGATCGGGCTCGTTAGTTTTCTCGTAATTGAGTTGGTGCTTTAACTGAGAGCACGAGAGAAGAGACTAATTAACTCCCATTCACTAAGTGGAGAAGCGTCAAAAGCCGCAAACAAGACTAGAAATCTCAAACTTCTATTGGCTCAAGCCAATTTTTTTTGTTCACTCTAGCGACCTCCCACACGAAAATAACGGTAGTGTTTCAATAACAACCTGAGAGCTCATTAACTATTGATGTGCGGTTAGAACAGCATAAGCGCGAAGGGCTAAGAGCACTGGTAATGGTTATAAAGCCCCGGGGCTTCAAACCGGGGTTTCAAACTTTCTCTCTCTGCCACGTCAGCTTTAACTTACACCCAAAATTCACTGGAAATGGGTTTGAAGCCCCGGAGCTTCAAAACTGGGCTTCAAACCTTCATTTTTTTTACATTTTTAAATATACATCTTCTAAAATTAAATTAATAAAATGTAATTAATTTATTATTTAATTAAATTGAAACACGAATAATAAAAAAATACATTCATTAAATAAAAAAAGCGTCAATAATTTAAAAAACGATACATTAATAAAAAAAACTAAGGTAAATTATATTTCTCCTTGATCTCTCTCATTCTTTGCTCATAGATCATTCGTCCAAACTCCGACAACGNTCTAAAATTAAATTAATAAAATGTAATTAATTTATTATTTAATTAAATTGAAACACGAATAATAAAAAAATACATTCATTAAATAAAAAAAGCGTCAATAATTTAAAAAACGATACATTAATAAAAAAAACTAAGGTAAATTATATTTCTCCTTGATCTCTCTCATTCTTTGCTCATAGATCATTCGTCCAAACTCCGACAACGTCCCGGGGTCGGTTTGCATGACTTTCTTTCGATCGCCCTACTCTTGGTAATACCACATCGCGGCGTCGACGGGCGGGAGATCGTCGGGAAAGAAGCGGAGCCGGAAGGATTCATGTTGAAAATTGGGAGGGGGGGTTTGAATTTTGAAATTTAAAAATAAGAAAGAAGAAGAGATTGAAGAGAAGGTGTGAGAGATTAGTTGGGGGGGTTGAATTTATAGGAATTTTTTTTAAATGTGGGCTGCAACGGCTAAAAAAGCCGTTAGGAGGGAGGGGAGAAGACTCACGCCGCGTCATTCGTTTGACGCAGGGCTCCTCACGCCCCTTTAACGCCGGCGGGGGGCAGTGTTTCACGCCCCCGGGGCGTTAAACGCCCCGTAACGCCGGTGGGCGTGAGGAGTATACCCAGTGCTCTAAGAGTTTAACGTTAAAGTTATCTTACAAAACGCTTCATTTTTTATGCATCAGTGCGTTTAGAACAGCATAAGCGACCTCCTTTGTTTGAAAAAAAATATTTCGATCTTCATTTTTTATGCATCTTACAAAACGCTTCTATATATACCTAATATATCTAAAGTTCACCTCATTTTTCTTTTATTCTGGGCAAAAGTTATTTTTGGGGTTTTTTAGACATATTAGGTAGACCTGGCGACTAGGTCTATCGGTTCGGTTCCGGTTCGGATCTTTGTTTGTTCTGGTCCCTTTCGGATATATGTTATAATCATTATGGTAAAGTTCACTGTGGTTCCTGCTCTAATTTAGTTTGATTTTTTCTGGTTTTGGTTCGGTCTCGGTTCGAGTTTATATTGGTTTGGGTTTATACCGGTTCATGTTTATACTAGTTCGTATCGGTTCGAGTTTATGCCGGTTTCAAATGAGATCCCTTGGTATCAGGATTCCTAATGTTAGCCTTGTGTTTAGTCTCTCCTCCCAATGTGTAAAGCGGGGTATAAAGTGTCACCAATAATAGACTAGTATATCCATCAACGTGTGTTACGATGTTACAATAAATATAAAAATAAACAACCACCTTAGTTTAAGTTATAAAATACGAAGAGATTTGTACATAAACGTAGTTGTACCTATAATTCAAATATATTTTTCTTAGGAAGATATCAACTAATAAGCTATTATGTTTAACTAGATTTGAGCTTAATTAATTTGTTTTGAATTTCATCAATATCGAGTCTAATTGATTTTGGGTCTAATCAGTTTCGGTTCTAACTAGTTCCGGATTTAATCAGTTCGGATTCAGATTTAGATCGAGTCTGAATGCATTCGACTCGCTTTCTTTTCGATTATCATTTTGGGTGTTCGGTTATAATTTGATTCTTCATTTTTCAAGTCATTTTGAATTTGGTTTTGCATTATTCGATTCAGATCATTGGATCCGGGTGTGTTTTGCCATGTCTAATATTAGGTGAGATATAAATATTTTTGTTCCGTTCACAGAAATAAAGATTAAACAGTTTTTTTAGAGAGTAAAAAAAACTCATCCAAAAATATCTTTTTTTGGCATGCTCCTTTTCTGCCATATAAATCTATCATACATTATGAAATTTCAAATATCTAGAGCAATGGTAGGTTCACAAAAAGAATGGTCATGAATTTTACAAACTTACTCTTGTTTATCTAAAACGTTCTTCCCATTTTCTTTTCATCCGGTCAAACTTTAATCAATTTCTTTACATATTTTTGTTATTTATGTGACAAAATAATACTCCCTTCGTTCTACAAAACAATTCCTGTTTTGATTTTTGCAAAATTTAATTTTGTAGTTTGACTTTTCAATTAAATCATTAGCGTCGAAAAGAAAAGAGTGGCAAATCACTTAAATCACTTATTCTATCATACAAAATAGATGGAGTATATTGGAATGACTTTATTTGGATATATTAGCCATTTTAATCAAAAAAGGAAGTGTTTTGATGAAAGCGAAAAAAATGAAAGAGGAAGTATTTTTCCAAAAAGAAGGATTATAATCTTGTCAACTCTTGTTTTGTAAGACTTTTGATGTAGTATTTAAATATATACTCCCCCGTCCCTAAATAAACTGTCTCTTTCGTTTTTTCTTTGTCCTCAAATAAACTTCTCTTTTCCCTTAAAAAACTTTTTTTACCCCTTACTTTTTTTATATCCTACCTATCACATCATACTTTTTTACTAATAATCACATCTTACTTTTACACATCGCATCAAGGGTATTTTTGGAAAGTCAACCCAAAAATATCCCTCTCTTAAATCTTCAAAAAGTCAAAAATGTAAGTTTATTTAGGGACGGAGGGAGTATATAAATTTTGTTTTTAAATTTTATACCTACAATCAAATAAATTGAAATAAAAATAAAATCGGTCAAATCTCATAAACAGAACCAGAAAGAACGTTTTAGAAGATAGGGAGTAGTATTTATAGTTTAAATTCTTCTTTAAAATTACTTTAGACTATTTAATTTTTTATATTGAAGTTCACAAATTATAAGTTTGGGACCATTATTTTTGTAAAACTAGCATTTCTTTTACAGATAACCCAAATTTTTTACAACTCTTATTTTAAAATTACTTTAGACCACTTAATTTTTTATATTGAAGTTCACGTGTGATAAATTTGAAATGTTTGTGATAATTATGTTTTTTAACCAAGCATTTTTTCATTTCTCCAACAAATAACCCCCAAGTTTTGTCTATCCAACGGATACAAGATGAATAACTCAAAAAATGTGGGGTTAAAGTCGTAGCACGATTCTTTTTCTACCTCCTACTTTGACCGTCTTTCTCAAATTCTAATCTCCATTACCTATTTACCTAAGCCCGCAATTTTCCTTTCTGACGTTACCTCATCAAAGTATAAAAAATCGCCACCGAAATTGAGGAAGCGAGCGATTCCTCGGTGGCTCCGCCGTCCGATTCCCTTATAAAACCGGTCGTAGCCAGCACGAATCCGCCATGATCGGCGAAAGATGAGCAGCGACACTCCCCTCCTCGGCTCCTCCTCCCCCTCCGACAGAAGCAACGCCGTCGCCGCTTCCGCCGACGGCGACGAATCCAAAAACCAAACATCCGTTCCGGAGATGAAGATGAAACCGGCGGATAAGTCCGTCGGTGGGCGGTGGCGGTTGAGAGACGCGCATTTCATGACCTGGAGAGCTGGGGATTTGTTCGGTGTGGTGAGGCAACACCCCGTGCCGTGCGCCTTCTTTTTGTCGGTGCTGTTCTTCATGGGCGTGGAGTACACGCTCCGTATGATTCCGCACAATTCTCCGCCGTTGGATCTCGGCTTCGCTGTCACCGTTCCTTTGCATCGCATCATCGCTTCCGCGCCGCTTCTTAATACTCTCCTTGCCGCGCTCAATACGGTAATTTTCACTCTTTACATTATCATTTACAGCATAATTTTATCATTAATACTTTTCCATCCTGATTTAATCATATCAGTTTGACTCTAGGGAGTTTAGAAACAATCTTGTAAAGTTAATAGTGAATGATTGAAATGTGATGAGAGGTAAAAGAACTGGGGAGCAGGAATTTTTTACTACCTCCGTCCCCATTTTGATTACTGTTTTTTTCTCCTCTCGATAACTTTGTTTTTATTTACGCGATTTCATTAATTATTTTTGTAATATTTTATTTTGTAGAATTTTTGACATATTTTTTTAATATGTAATTTTTATTTCTTATTGATATACCGATTTGTAAATAAAATGATTTCAAAAAGTGAGAAATTTTTCCTCATAAACCCCAATTTGTAATCAAATTTGGGACGGAGGGAGTACTATATTAGGAATTTAGTAAGAAAGTGAGGGCGGACTAAAAAAGAAAATGAGGTGATTACTGTTCAATTAGAAATCTCTCGGGGCCGACGGAGGGAGTATTAGTTATTACTGCCACGGTTTTGTATGATATTGTTTGCTTGAAATCTCTCCGGCGTATGTAGTTTCCCCTTCCATAGGACTTGTTTAATTTTGTATGTAGTGTTTGAGAATTAATATTTCATTTTAGTTCCAAATTTGAATTCTTGAATTTCAAATGACAAAGTAAAATATATTATTTAATTGAGTTTTGTTATGCATGGAGGAGTTTGCCTCAAACACTAATCTAAACTTTTAAGATTCGCAAACATAGAATTTGAGCTGAATTCGGGTTTGAAAAACTAATTCAAGTTCTCAGACGTGCAGTTTTATTGACTCACATGAGTTTTCGATAAATCTTGTTAGAGCAAAATGGAACAAAGTTTTGGAGGGGCGGGGATGTACGGAGTATATGGGTTTTATTGAAATTGTAGCAAACTTTACATTTGGTGCAATTTTCAACTTTTCATTGAATAGAAAACAATGTGAGGCTTCTTTTTGGGTTGGTTTTTAGTCAACCTTAAGTTGAATTCTCTTTCATTTCCATTCAACCCTTCAATCAACTACTCGACCTTCATTCAACCACATATATAATTAATTATGTCCGTTTTGAATGATCAAGTCTTAAATAGTGTATTTAGCGTTTGAATTCTTCTTATATAAGAGTGAGATCTGGACGACGACGACGACAACAACAACAACAATTGAGTTGGATCTCATTGAGAGGAGTGAGATATGGACATGGTATCCAAGCAAGAGTTAAACTTCAGAGTATATGTAGGCCTAATTTTTTTTGTGCTGTTTAAATATATACCTAATTACTTTTCTGTCTCATGAAACTTTTTCTTTTTCTATTTTCATTCATTCCAAAAATCTCTTATCCTTTCAATTACTTTGTACTTACTTACCTTTATTGATTATTAATTTATGTCACATCATATTTATTCTTTATTAATCTTCCAATTACATATATTCTAATGGTAGAATGGTACATTCGAATCCAAACTATATTTGTCTTAAATCTCTTTTCTTTACACATTATCATCAATAATGTAGTATTTGCTAAAAATAGTAGCGTGATGTCACTTTCTATTTTGTGGAACTTTTTAGTCACTTTATGAATATATAGGAGTAATTTTTATTTTTATATCAATATTTATAAAATTATGTTAAAATAGTTTCTTTCTAACATCATAAACCGAAATGAGCAAGAAATAACAGGATGGAGTGGAGTGAGTACAGTTTAAAATGGGTGGTAATATATATATGGAGTATCTTCATTTTATTCCATAAAACAAAATATCCCTAATCTTTATTGGTGTGGTGGGTATAGGTTTTTGTGGGGATGCAAACGGCCTATATAATATGGGCTTGGCTGATCGAAGGGCGTCCAAGGCCTACTATTTCAGCCTTGTTCATGTTCACATGCAGAGGAATTCTTGGCTATGTCACCCAGCTACCTTTGCCACAGGTTTTACTTTTTTCCCCTGATTTTTTACATTCCTCTTTTTGATTATAAATTCATAATTCATTTTAGTTAGTTTTTGTCCAATTTAGTTTAGTAAATTTCAATTACACTACTATTTGACAATTGTCATGTTTACAAATAAAAATTTTGGAGTAAACTTCATGTTTAGAGAAGAATTGTCATGTTTTGGATTGCAAATTCTTAGAGGCGAATTAATTGACATTTCCCTTCAATCAATATATTTGGCCTAACATAGTTACATACCCGTATAGTTAATTTGTGAATCGATTACTTTATCATTTCATTTAACAGTTCATTATGATTTTTATGATAAATTAAAAGATGAACGGATGTAAGCATTGATGTATGTCCATGTTTATTTAGTGTTTAATATAAGAAGAAAGTTACATCAGGCAATGTAAGATGTGATTCGTCAAGGAACCCAAGTCAAGTACAATTTCAAATTTGTGGTCATAGAACACGTATTATGAGATTTGTTATTGTTTGAATCTTGCACGAAGTCATTAATTTTTTAAAATTAGGTTTCAATGAGGTGATGTTCGAACTTGTGACCTCTAGGTTTCTAAGTCAAGAAACAACTCAACTATGACGGGTCATGCTATAGTTACACTATGACGACAAGTTTGACACCCGGCAAACATTGATTTTCTATGTGTGATGGTGTCATCCCTAACGTAAAGTTGTATTTTCCATGTTAAACTATATATGCAGGATTTCTTGGGATCAGGTGCGGATTTTCCGGTAGGGAACGTGTCGTTCTTCTTGTTCTACTCAGGGCACGTTGCTGCCGCGGTGATTGCGTCGCTCGACATGAAGAGGTTGGGGAGGCGGAGGTTAGGGCTGGCGTTCGACGTTCTCAACGTGTTGCAAGTAGTTCGGCTCCTCAGCACGAGGGGCCACTACACTATTGATTTGGCAGTGGGAGTAGGCGCCGGCGTGCTCTTTGATTCTCTCGCCGGAAAGTATTTAGAATGTAAGAAATTGAACTCACATATGAGTATGTGAAAATGTGTCAAGATTTATTGAGTGGGGTTGGTATCTTATGGAAATGGCAAAGATACCCAAAACAATTTCAATTTGTATTTTTGATTAAAATGAGTTTAATATGAAATGAAATTGTTGGGAGATATCATGAATGAAATAAAGTCTCTGTTTTTGCCGTTTGGTATAGGTACTCGCATCCACCAAGTAAAGATTTATTTTCATTGTTTCCATCTCTTCCTTCCATTAGATTCTTAGTTGTTTCATTTCAATTGCGTGGGGGCTTAGATTGAGATTAAACCATACACCTTATTCAATTGGTGTCAAATTGTTTTTTAAGAAAATTAATTTCTTTTTTTTACTCTTCTCTTGTGGATTCCTTGCTCATTTGGTTTCATATAATTCATAAGAAATTATAAATATATAACCTTTTAATGATTTTTACTTTTGATTTTCTCATATCTTTTCTTTTTGAAAATTTAAAATTTGTTTTTTAAAAAAAAATTGAATTCTTTTAACTTTTATTTTTATAATTTTAACATGTATTATAAAAATATCTTTCATGAAAAATGATTAAAAAAATAATTTTTCCAAAAGCCAAGTTCAAATTCTACTCTCCTTGGCTTTTTGGATTTTGGCATTTCAAATCTAAAGGCCAAGTGAAAAAGTCATTAACCAAACAATGGTTTTGGCAGTTTGTTAAGTCAAACAAGCCAAAGTCAGTCAAAGATCTCAAAAACTATTCGAAAAGCTGTTTTCCAAACACAGCCTTTATTTGAGATTGTACAATAATACTTGAAGAGTACATACGGAGTATATATATTAATTACCACTTCACCAATGTTTCTAAAAAGTTAAATACCTTTACAATAATTTTCCAAAATCATATATTGATTATAGATGATGAAATATATATCCAACTAGGACTAAAATATGATCCATATGCTAAAATAAGGCATTCTCTATTTATATATATATATTAAACAGTTGATGATGCGCATGAACAAATGTGTTATTAAGAAAGACCAAATATATGATTAATAATTTAAGATTAATTTAGAGGAAAAAATAGTCCGTTCATGAGTAATTTTAATCTATTTAAAAAGTGCCCGCATGGGTAGCTCAGTTGGTCAAGAGCGTGAAATCTTGGACCAATGACCAGGGATCGAGTCCCGCAAGCGACAGTGTGGGAGCTATCCAAAAATCCCATAAAGGTGAGGAGGCTCCTTGTGCGCGGTGGGCACGGGTCTAGCGTTCTTGGCCGACTGAGTCACCATGATTTACATCCTCCACCATTCCTGTCGGGCAAGGGGGTGGGGGCGCCTGGGGTGGGCGATTCCACCTTTTTGGACCAATCTATTTAAAAAGTGGAATTTTATTTTGGGATATAGGTCCCATAGAATCCATTCACAATTTCACATGTAGCAAATACTCACATAAAGCTAGCCAAACGTGGCACAACTTAAATCCATGAAAGAAAAGCAAGGACTTGCGAATATAGGATATGTTCAAAAGTTCAAACAAATGTGCATCATAAAAGTTGAAAACAAATTAGAATCTTAAACCAAAATTAAAATTCAACATGAGTTGGTAGTGACTAATATTGAGTGCATATGTGACAGAATTAATGCCAATTTGTCACGTAAATGATGCCACCAAAAAAATTAAAAGATCCAGAGACGCTGTCTCCAGACCTCCGACCAATATCGCCCCCATCTAATAGAAATTGTGTATCGACCACTAGAAATTGATATGCCTCTGAGAGCACTGGAAATACTCGTGAAGCCCCGGGGCTTTAAAATTTCTTTCTCTGCCACATCAGCTTTAACTTACCTCACAAATTCAGTGGAAATGGGTTTGAAGCCCCGAGGCTTCAAACAGGGGCTTCAAACCTTTATTTTTTACATTTTTAAATATACATCTTCTAAATTTAAATTATTAAATTTTAATTAATTTATTATTTAAATTAATCAAAAGGAGACTAGTGCATTAAAAAAATTACATTCATTAAAAAAATATTACATTCATAGAAGAATACATTCATAAAAAAAGTTACATTTATTAAAAAAAATATTACATCCATAAAAAAATAACACTACAAAGAAAATACTAATTATTCGAGCGACTAAATATATCTTTATTCAAATTTGAGTTGTAGTAACATATTGCAAACTGAAATAATTCATTAAATAAAAAATACAGTCAATAAAAAAAGTATGTTAAATTTAATAAAAAAACAAAACAAAATTACATTACCAAAAAAAATTTAAACAAAAAAATATTACATTAAACAACAAAATATAGAGTAAAAAAATTTATGTTTGTGTATATTTTTTTTAAAAAGAGAGAGTGGAAAGGCTTTGAAGCCCGTTAAATGTTTGAAGTAGGAAGTATGAAGCCCGTATGAAGCCCCAAGGGGGCCGTGTTTGCTGCCCCTTTGGCGTTAAAAGGTGTAATAACGCCCCTGGCGTTACTCCCATTACCAGTGCCCTGAATCCTTCCGTTTGCATTTCTAGGTGACAACTTCCCAAATGACTATCATGAGGGCATGAGGCAATAGACATGGGGAAGGTGAACATCTTCAAAATTATCTCGCTCAAAGGCCTCGTTTGCAATCAGTGTTAGAGATTAGTGTTAGCATTTTAAAAATGTTATCTGACGGTAGCCTTAAGCGTTAGCGTTTTCAAAATTAATTTACACCATTAAAATTTTATCCAAAATGCTAACGCAAATTGAAACTGATGTTCGCAAACAATGCCAAAATCTACAACTTTCAGAAGATATTTGTTCATTGAATTTAACTTATGCGAAGGGCCCAAGAATTCATCAAAATCCATACCTAGTGAAATTATGTGAAAATCCATGGAATATCAAATACAATTAAATTTAGAGAGATTTGTTAAAATCCTAATTAAATATATACATATAATAAATATTTGATTAAAATCTAAATTGAGTATCTATAGGCTTTGATAATACAAAAATATCCTATAAAATCTATATTAAATACACTCCCATATCTATAAAAGCTACAACTTTATCTGAAATCTTGGTATTTGTGTCATAAGTTAAGTAGGCAAAGAGAGTGAGACAGAAGGAGTAGTAAAAGCTACATCCCCTATATATAGAAAATACAAAAAGAAGTTTAATAATACTCCCTTCGTCCTAAAATGTTCTTCACACTCACTTTTTACCCGGTCAAACTTTAATAACTTTCTTTACCTATTCTCATTAGGTATTTGATAAAATAATATAGTCTTGTCACCACTTGTTTTGTAGAACTTTTGATATAGTTTTTAAATATATAAATTTTATTTTTTAATTTTACACCTACAATCAAATAAACTGAATTGAAAATAAAGTCGGTCAAACCTCGTAAAATGAACTGGGAAGAACATTATAGGACGGAGGGAGTAGTAGAATAACAACCAAAGTAACACTAGAATAAAAAAGAAAACATTAATAGTATTATGTCTCCTGTTATCCTTATTATTCCTAATACAGATTGACTGACAAAGGATGAAACTTGCACGACTGCACCTAATAATTACAGAAATCTTATACTTAACATAATTATCTCTAAATTAGTTTTCAAACTCAGATTCCCACATTTCTGAGTTCTCTCCCTATCCCAAATTAAACTTCATGTTCGCCAGACTTTATTTATTTATCTTACCAAATTTGGTTAATCATTCGATATAAAAAAAGTCATGCCACTACTTGTTTTTAACATTTTTGATGTTATCCTAAATATATAAATATTATTTTTTAATTCTATATAATTGTAAATAATTTAAATTAAAATAAACTTAGTAAAAAATTATTAATGATTGAAATGAGAGGCATGAAGTAAAACATTGTGTCGTGAGTCACTAATTTGGACTTTAGAGGGTGAGACCGTACCGTATTTCATTCCCACGCCACAGTGTTCTCTTATACATATCCCCAATCTTCCATTTCCCATTTCCGTGTTCTCAAATCTCAACTCAATTGATCTCTTCTTCTTCTTCTCCGAGCACATAAATCGAAAATTCGACGAATCCGAAGTCGATGAAAATGAACAGAAGGCCGATCGTCGACGGTGGATACGTGTACGCCGAGGAGGAGCATCTCACCGTCCGGAAGACTTCTCTTTTCTTCGCCGGCGACGGCTTCTCCGCCTACGATTGCGCCGGCCGGCTCGTATTCCGGGTCGATACTTACGGGCCCGATGCCCGTGACCGGAGCGAAGTTGTCCTCATGGACGCCGCCGGGAAATGCCTCCTCACCGTCCGCCGGAAGGTTCGTGTGCCGCTTCTTAATCTCTCTCGGTTCAACTGAGCTAACTCGTCCAATCACCTTTTGGAGAATAAAGACAAAATACTGAAAAACATTATTGAACTAAAATTAATAATGCACACGATTAAAATGGATTTCCAACTAACTTTCACTTCTAAATTGATTTTTCATTTGTTATATATTTTATTTATGTTTTGATAACCTTGTTATTTTTTATTTAAAAAAATTTTGATATACAGAGTAGCTTGTAAATATATTTTTACGTAAGCTAAATAACAAACAACGGGTTGTTTGGCAACTTCTGAATAGGTAAGTGCTGAACCAGTAAGAGGTCTGAACCATTAAGTGCTGAACCAGTAAGATATCTGAATCATTAAGAGCTAGTATATTGTTTAACTATTCAGAGGCAAATGTCTGACCAATTCAGATAAGAGGTCTTAACCATTCAGACTCTGTATAATATTTAATCATTCAGAGGCAAATCTCTTAACCATTCAGACATCTGAACCATTAAGAGGCTGAAACAAACAGTCTGAACCATTAAGTACTGAACCATTCAAACATTTAAACCATTAAGAGGCTGAAACAAACAGCCCCTTAGTAAAATCTGACAAGAATAGAATCTAGTGTGTCTGTATTTACATCTTATCTTTACTCGAAAGTAGAGAGATTATTTTTAATAAACTCGTGACTAAGTAACACGGATAATTTTTTTTTACAGAAGAGATAACCAAGAGAAATCATAGAGTACAAAAAACAAAGACAAACTAATACACAGTGTTCCTTAGATTATAATAGAGTTATTAGTATTAAAAAAATTTTATTTAATTTTGTCATTCATTTAGAAACAAAGGTATTATCCTCTACTCGAATTAAGAGCATGGCCAGCGGCAAG